AATTTTTAGTACTCTAAAGTAAATACCTTTCTGAGGCCAGGGAGGAGCCTGAGAAATCGGGAACAAGGTTTTTCTGTCCTGGATGTGCATAAAACTGAGCGATGTTTGCAGCGCGCTTTGGGTTACAATACCTACTGTATTACTCCGCACATTTCTACTACCTACTGTATTGCCTATTGTACTTCCACCACCTTGGCCCATTGCTAGTCTTGTTCCACCTTGTCTTTTGCCAGAGGTCTAACTAGCCTCATGGTTACTGCAATGAGGGCACTAATCCAGGTTTCTGATATTTATTTAAACTTAGTAATGTAGAGAGCAAACAGATTCATTTTACCTTAAGATCAGAGAAAAGAAAAATCTGATAATCCCTGTCAGATGAAAAAACGAATAAACACGAGTTTTCCTGACATTCAGAAGTTTGGTTTCAAAGCTACTTCATGAGAGAGAAGAATCAGCCCCACTTAGGATAGTTTAGAAAGAGTGGAATCACTTCAGAGTTCAGGGAGCATTTGGACAATGCTCTCAGGCACACATGGTACGATGGTTCTCAGGCATGTCCTGTTCAGGGCCAGGGGTTGGACTCCGTGATCCTTGTGTGTCCCTTCCAACTCTTGATTGTTCTCTGATTGTGTGGTACTATATGTAGAAGTAGAGTTGTTTATGTAATACTGCATTGTGTAATAAAATAACTTGGTTTTAGATAGGACAGAAGTTTTGCATTGTAGTACATAAGACTTGAAAAGTAGCTTTAAAGGGAGGGTGTTTTTCTGATCTTCATGCTATGAGACTCTTACCACTGTGCATTTTTCAGTTCTTTTCAAGCTATGAGACATATACGTACTAACAAATCTTAATCTTGATACTAATTAGCCAGAATGCCTAAGCAGCCTGCTTACTCTTTCAGCTATTTAATATGTAAAAACGTTAAAAATAAGTGTGTTTTCTTTGAGAATTCTGTTCTGCATCATTAGTGAGAAACAAATGCTGCATTTCCAAGGCAGCCAAGGCCATCCATGACAGGTGTACCAGCAGTATCTGTGTGCCTACTTGGTTATTTGTGCTGGTTCTGGCACTCCTTGGGTGCTTCCGCTGTGAACTGTTCCCTGTTTCAGGTTGCCAGAGAATTTGCACAGCAAAGGGGATACTGCTACTAGCCTGGTTTGCTGAAACACATCCAGAAAGAAAGCAGTAGAAGCCAACAGTTGGGTCAGCTTAAGGCACTGTGGAGTTGTTCTCTGAGTTTTCAGTTCAAATGTGCTTTAACTGGCTATGCAGCCAAAGAAGTGGTCTTCTCCTCATCTTTGGCTTCATTTTTGCTGTTGATGTGCTCTTAACGCTGGCACAACTATTAAGTAACTGCAGAATGAGCTTGGGTAAGAAGTGCATGTGTTTGATAAGTGTTAACAAAAATTTTCTCCTGTGAAATGTGTGACTGATTTTCTCGCATAATGTTTTAAAGAGCTGTCATGATACAGTGAGAAGGAAGAGGAAGACCTAGCCTTTTTCTGATTACAGCAGGAGTGTTTTACTGCATAACCTTTTATTAGCACGGGACAGTGGAAGTTGCAGTCTTCAACTTGCCTGAAGGCCAGAGGGATAAAGGGAATGAATTGACTTGTGACTTGCAGTGAGAATTTGGAGTAGGGCGCATAGGCAAGAGTATCTGGTGTGATGGAACCACCTTCCATCTAAGGTATACCTTCACAGGGTGGTTCTGAAGTGAATTGATGGCTTACAGTTTTTCAGAAGAAGCAGCTAAATATCTCTTACTATCTCTTCTGCATTCACTGATCCTGAGGTGGATCAGGTGTTCGATGGCATGTAGTAAAATAACTCTGTTTCCTACAATAGCAGAATATCAGTTGGGTGAAAAACTGGAAACTTTGTTCATCTTTGTGCCGGGTTTTGTTGAGCTTAGCTTGAACTTGGCAAGTGCTAGAACTTCTGCAAGAGGAGATACAGCAAAAGAGATGGGCAAAGCCTCTCTGGCTTTTGGTAATGGGAGTTTTGCTAATTTGATTCAGTAACACTGAAACTGTATTTGAAGAACTGAATTCTAGTTTCAGCTTTAAATTGTTGGGCAAATCATGTGTCGCATGAAGTATTGTAGTCTTCTCATTCCCTTACTGGATGTCCAGGTTGTGTGAGGACTTGCCATTCCCAGTTCTAGTTTAAATGTACATTAAACATGAAAATTACTACATTGAAAAAATAGGATGTTACCTGTTGCAGATTATTAGGTTTCAAAGTAGCAAATAATTTTAACTGAATCCAAGTTTGGAACTCCTGACAATGTTTTAGGAGGGAAAGGGTCCTCCTGAGGCCTGGGTGTGCAAAGCACTTTGACTCCAGTTGCTCTATAGTTTTAACATTCTTTGCTGCTCTTGTCTGCCTTCAGTGCTTCCTTAAGGTCTGGCTTTGGTGCAAGCAACTCAAACAAGTTTGTAGTCATTGGTATTCCTCTTGTGGTTAAATTAATAATTTGTCCTTTTTCTGAGAAAAAGAATAGTGTGGACATTCCATCTAGGCCTGACTGGGAGTTTGTCCTGTTGGCTTTGCTCTAAGGCTGTTTATAAGCTTACTCACCTCTCCAGTGTTTGATGACTTTGACCATGGAATTTGCCTGTTGGGTAATTGTGTGCAATAAGCTGTATCTTCAAAGCATTTAACTTCTTGGTGATTCCTGAAAGGAATTTGGTAAAGTTCTGAAATGAATGATTTTGATGATCTCGCTGTGTCTGATATCAGCAACACTGGTTGCTACTTGGTCACAAAGCTACTTAAAGTAGCCTAGATTAGGTTTAGATACAAATTTTTAAAATGTCTTGGAATAATTACTTCATCTTTTTTCCCAGTAAATGGTCTGTTTGTGCTGTTGGAGTTCATTGTCCTATGCTGTATCTCTAGGAAGATGCAGGCATTCTGGGGCCTTGGTGTCATACAGTTGACTGAAATATGTATTTCTGTTCCAATTTTTCAGTCTACAAACATGGAGACCCAGTGCACAGGTGCCATGGAGGGCAGCACCCGTTCATCACCTGTCAGCCAAGGTTATGTGTTACCAGAAGGAAAAATCATGCCAAACACCATCTTTGTTGGTGGAATTGATTTAAGGGTATTTATATGCTTTTAATTGTTTCAGATGGGTATAGTGCACTTAAGTGGGAAGAAAATGGGGACTTTTACTCCTGGTTTGTGGGGTTTTGCTTTTTTGCTTATTATGGTGGTCGTCTGTTTCCTCAATGTGTGTGTTTAGCAGTCTTAAGATACAGAAATGTTGGGAGAATTTGGGAACAAGTGTTGCAAACCAAAACCTTAGTTCTGACGTGGTAGAAAATGGCTTTAAAAAAAGGGTAGTGGCTGCTCTAAGTCACTTGTAAGCAGTTGAATTGCTTGAAGTTTTAAGTCTTTGTTTCATCCAGACCAATGAAGCAGAAATTCGGAGTTTCTTCGAGCGATATGGTACTGTGAAAGAGGTGAAAGTCATCACTGACCGAACTGGTGTTTCCAAAGGGTAAGTAAAACACAAGTAGTTTCAGTTGCTGCTGATAGGAACATAATTCTGCCCTAGGTGAGAAGAGCAGATAACTTAGCAACACACCTGACCTGTTTCAGCAGTTTTCTGTTATTGAGAATTAACATGTGAAATCAGTAAATCTATATTGCCCCTAACTCAATCTGTATAGTGTTGCAAAGAATAGCCTGATTTTTCTGACTTCAGTCTATCTGTTCAGGGGAAAAGAGGGTTATTATCTCTTAACCAGTGGAAATAAAGTTAGAAACTTGTGTGATACTTAGGCAGACAGTTAGGTAAGACCTTTCTGATAGCTGGAGTAGTTAAAAATCTGGGGAGGGTTCAAGAGGGTTAAGATGGTTTATCTAAGGCAATGTGACTGCACTCTTCAGGCACTTGAGAATCAGTTCTGGAGTAAACAACCCAAACTCAGTTGGGTGAAGAGTGAAGCTGAAGTAAGTGAATAAAGTTCAAACAAGGGAAATTCCCACTGGATATATAGGAAACTTCTGGATTGTTTGTGGTGAAACCCTTAAATAAGGAATTGCAGGTCCTTAGCCTGTTGAGTTCTAGGGAAGATATTCTAGTTTTGAGGTTATCCCAGCTTTGAGAAGGAGGCTGTGCCCTCTGGAGGTTCTGTTCAGCCCACTTTTTGTCTAAGATTCTATGCATACATTCTAAAAAGTAATTTTTTTCTTAGGCCTATGTAGTAATGCACAGGCTAGGGATGAGTTTTATTTCCCTATGTCCTCTGCTAGTCCTCACTGTGAATCTGGTTGTTCAGTCAGCCACTGCATGTTCTGAGTATTGATAACGGGCTTACTCCATTAATGTGACATAATAGTTGCTGTAGTTATAATTACTAAAATGCTCTGAAATTATCTTAAGGTTATAGACTAGATAAACTAGGGAGGCTGTGAAATAACTTGAAAAAACTCAAGAATTGCTTCCCCCACTGGTGTCACTATTCCTGTAATGCCTCCTTTCATCCAGAGCTCTGTAGTAAATACAAAATTGGTAATTCAGATGTTAATTCTTTTGAGTTGCTAATACCAACCATAGTGCTCATTTTGAGTTGCCAAGATGGAAAAATAGCCCTTCTATTTTAAATTATTCTGGAATCTGGCATTCACTTTCATCTGGCCCAGTAACAGATGCTGCTAGTAAGTAGTTTCATGCTGAATTACCAACTAATGTCCTGCTTGATAATTTTCGTGTGTTACGCAATGTACCTGGCATATATGTTGTCAGTTGGTCTTGTTCCAAATAATTTGGCTATCAAATCAAAATCTGATGACTGAATAACCTGTTTTTCCTTTTTTAGGTACGGATTTGTCTCTTTTCTGGACAATGTGGATGTTCAAAAAATAGTGGAGGTAAGCTCTTGGTATAAATTACTTGAAGAAGTTGATGTGTGAAGGCTAGAGACATATTGAGGGGAAACCAAGTGATAAAATGTGTAGAATAAGTTAGGACAATGCAAGCCTAGGGCTGCCTTGGTGTGCTTGAACATTTCATGTAATTGTGTTTCTTGTTGTTCTTCATTTATGTGCTTGAAAGCCTTCTGTGTGTTTGGCTGATGACTTCTGTAGTGGATGATGGTCACAGAACCCTTGTGACGTACCCTGGGCAGGTACATAGGCCCATTGCTGTTGGCAATAACAGTGCCATGGAAAACAGCATTAGGTTTTACTTGCATCTCAGGGTTTGAAATGTTTCTCCCTTGCAGTATTTGTGCATTCACATGCTACCTGGCATGCAAGTATTTTTTAAAGCCTCTGGGCCGTGTTGCAGCTGGTCATATGTCATACAGTTTTCTTTTAGATAACACAGGAGATGAAGGGGTAGAACTGTTAGTCATTCTGCACTTAGAGTTCAGTGTCAGAAATTTCAAGCCTTGGTTCTTAAAAACCAAATGAGTTATTTGGTTTTGATAGACTTCAGCAGGTCACAAACCACTGACAAAACTTTTGTGTTTTCCCTCTTTTTTTCCCCAAACTGAGTGCAATAACTGTGAAAAGAACTTGTATTGAAATACTTCTCTCTCTGAAGTCTTTGCCTCAGAAAAGTCCTGTGTCTCCAGAGGATGAACAGTCTCTCACTTGCTTCTGAAGCTCTTATATAGGGAAGTAGATCAGAACAGCAAAACCAGATAGATGTGCCAGGCACAAATCAAGTGTTCTGTGATGTGCACATGTGTTTACTGGCTGTCCAGCTCTGTAACAGCAGAGAGAATATGTTTGAACAAAGTGGAAAGCAGTGAAACTCCAGCAGGAGATTCTCTATTTTCACCAGAGGACTTCAAAAGCTTGCTGTTCTTTAATGGTCTGCTGACAGAAATACTGCTGTATTGAGCAACAGACTTCATCTGAGAATACCTTCTTCTTTTTACCACTGATTACATTTATTGTACTAGATCAGTATGGAATGCTTGCTCTGAGGTAACAATCTCTGTAGAGACCTCTTGAGTAGCATTGACATTTGAGGCATGTACATAGCTCATTTTCTTTGTGCATTTTTTCAAAACTGGAAGCCTGCAGTGTTCATCTAATCATACAGTATTCACTGATGTGACTTTGTATACCAGAGGTCTTGGAAGACTCAGAGGTATATGACAGATGCAAATTTCAGTGCAAATTTTATGTCTACAGGCAGTACAAATTGCTGCCTTGTCAGGAGGAAACACATCCAGATAGAAATAATTTTATAAAGCCTGTTGGCTTTTGGAGGGGATGAAAGAAGGGAAGAAATGAACACTTCATTTGAGAGCTCAAATCATAAGCAAAGATCACCTCACGAAACTATTTCAGGCCTTACCAGTGGTCACACTGTTTATTGTAAATGAACAGGATAGAGTTTCTCCGTAGTTAGAATTGTTCCAGATGCCTGTGTTCATCTGCCCAGCTCTGTAGCCTTGTGCAGCTTGAGGGTGTTTTTCTTCTGCTTTAGGTCTCATTCTGTTTATGACTGCATATTCTGGTCCAGTGTGAACCCATTTGCAGTTCAGAACAGAAAACTACCTTCTGCTTTGAGGAGAGGCCTGTCTTCTAGGTGTTCTTGTTGCTAAAGTGGAAAAGGTGGTTGTGTGGTTCTGGGCACAACAGGATTGCAGAGTTAATTTAAAACCCCCCAAAACTAACTGCCCAACCAAAATTGACACCTTCTGCCCCCCAGAAATAAAAACCAAAACCACCCACCTGTCAGGCTAGTTGAGGATATTGCACCTTTTTCCCCCACCCACATCTTACTTTTATCATCTTCTCATACTGATAAAAATAGAATAAATAAAGACATCCTTTTTTTTTTTTTTGCTTATTTTTACAGTAAAGTTGGCTGTTGTCTGTTCAAAGCACTTAAGCAGAAGTGGAAGAAAATTGCACTGTTTTCTTCCAAAGCAGTTAAGTCTGTAGAGTTGCATGTGAAAGAGAATCTAGGCAGACTTCTGCATCTAATACTGGCTTTAATACTTGGTACAGAATTTATGTTAGTAGGGGTAAACCAAAAATCTTTGCTGCATCTAATACTGGCTTTAATAGTTGGTACAGAATTTGTTAGTAGGGGTAAACCAAAAATCTTTCACATCTGATGTGTAAACCATTTGTAAAGCTCAGTGTGGGTGTCTAAACTGTAATTAGAGTGCTTACTTCAGATAATTGAGTGCTGTGCACACTTTTGTAGGTAGTGAATGTGAGATCAGACCCAAAGGTAAATTCTTTTTTTGAGGGTTGTGTGGAGAAGTTCTGAGTACCTTAATAAACATTAATCTGCTTAAATCTGTGAAACAATTTTCTGTACTTGTACTTAAACCATTATCTTGAGGTTGAGAACAAAATCTTACAGGTCCTGTTCTACAGTCAGTCCAAAGAGCCCTTGAAGTGTAAGGATGTTGTGGTGCCAGTTCAGTCTACATCATCAGTGAATGTTCTTGTAGTTCTCAAACTCAGCAGTTTCATTGAGCATAGAATTGAACTTCTGCAGGGAGGGAGAGTGCTAGAAATTCTTGTGCTTTTTCTTATGGCCCCAGATATTGTTGTGGGGAAAGCAGTACTCAGTCATTTTTACTTTACTGAAAGCTCTAAATCCTGTCTTCTGTGTGAACTAGCATTTGGGCAGAATTTGTAGAATGAAAAGTTAGATGTGCCTCACTTGTTTGCTGACTCCTGAGGAGAGTGTCCAGCCTTGTTTTGCAAGGCTTTCAGGTGCTTGCATTCCTGGGTTTGGGTATTGGAGTAATATGTCAGCAGTATTTCACTTCTACTCTCTTGATTAGTCTGTGTGCTTCATGCTTTGGCCAGAAACGTGGTGAAACGTGAGCATGTTTGTTGGATGTTCTGAGGGAATGAATGTGAATTTCTCCAAAGAGAATACAGTCACAGGCAGGTAATCTAGTGCCAATGCAATCGTTTCCTTTAGTAGTAGGGGGACAGTTTCTAACATGTTTGATGAAGCCTTTTAGGAAGTTTATGGGAACAAAGGAAGTAGCAATGCAAACAGAGTTTCAAGGGAACCTAGACTGTGGTCACTTTACACTAATACTCTTTCCAAGGCAAGAGTAGTTAAAATCTGTGTATAAAACCACAGGGCTAACAGGCACTAATAGGTAGTTGCAAACTACTAGCAGTACATGTTGCTTTAAGGCAGGCAGTATGTAATAACTTCAGAGGGTCAGTGAGTAGGCAAATGGATGTGCTGAGGGCAGCACAGAAAATGAAAGGTAAAAGGCACGCGGTGCTGATCTGGAAAGGAGAGTGGAGGCTGTTGAGCCTCTGTGAGTAGATGGTACTTTGATCTGGAATCGGTCTCCTTCCAATGGCATAAGTCACTCCCCTCGCTGTTTCCCTGCTTACTGACATGAACCTGTCTTTCAGTCGCAAGTCAACTTCCATGGCAAAAAGCTGAAACTGGGACCAGCAATCAGAAAGCAGCAAAATGTGTGTAAGTATATCCGAATAAGTTTGTTCATATTACAAGTACATTTTAAGAAATTTTTTCTCTTAATTATACATCAGCATCCAGTATACATGTTCTAATTAAACCTTGGTTCTGACTCCTGTGGCCTCACTACTTGTGTGGTGATCTACAGTTTTGATAACACATCTCTTGTTGGTAGCGCAATACAGTTAATATTGAGTTAAATTTAAGAGTGAGACCCTTAATTGGTTTTGTGGAATTCAGATTCCTAATGAAATACATACGAAAATGTCTTAACACTTTTCTTTGTTTCAAAACAAGGCTCTTATGTGCACCCCAGACCATCAGTCCTCAGTCCTCCTGCACCACAGTTCCATAGTGTATGGGGTAATCAAAATACGGAGACTTACATGCAGCCTCCACCTGTAATGGGCCCAGTAACACAGTATGTTCAGGTAAGATTGTTCATGCCACTGGTTTTACCATAATTAAATACTTCAGAAGATCTGAGCACATACAACTTCAGGAATATGTACTGAGATTCCAATCTGATCTTACATGCTTGTTTCCATATTGCCTTCCCCAGTAAGAAGCACCCAACTTCAAACCACTTCCAAAGGATGCCAGAAATCTTGAAAAATGTATTCAGTGAGGTGATCTCATTAAAAAACAAAAAGACAGGGAGATGCTTTTTATTCTAACAATGTGAACTGGTGACGGTGGAGCCAAGACTGAATTACTTAAGTTTTTAAGTGATGCTGTTACTTGTCACAGATTACTTCACTAATCAAATGCATCCTGGTAGTTTATGTATTGCTGTCCTGCCCCTCAGAATAAACTACCAACTTGGAAATGTTTCAAAGGTGTTATTGTAAACAAGTGTGGAACCAGAGGTTGTCCCTGGTACTTACCTCTCCTGTGTTGGGACATCTGCTGTTACCAGCTGTGAGCAGTGCAGTGTGCCTGCAGGACATCCCTTCATGGGTACTGCAGTACCCACTGAGATGCAGGCAGAGTGCTCCTGGCCTTGTCAGGAGTCCTCTGCTGTCAACAGACCAGATCATGCTCTCTTCCTTCCTTAGGCCTGTATCACATGGCAGTGCAGCAGGGCAGTATTAGTTGCAAACTGATTCTGGTTCATATATTTTTTAAGCAGATGAAGAATAAACTGCAGTGACAGGCAGAAATACTTCTCCCCAGGGCAGAGATTGATAATAGTACTCTAGTGGATTCTATGAAGTTTATGGAAGTGAAATAGTATGGAAGGAACTAATTCTCTTTAAATGTTGGTATTGTCTGAAGAAGCTGAGAAGGTTCCAGGATAGCATTATGTCAAGAGTACTTAGAGGGAAGAGATACTGGGAAATTATCTGGATTTGAGCACATACCTTCCCCTTGGCTCCAAGAAACTGATCTTTAGGCTGTGCTCCACTATTTCATGGTAGCTAGTCTCTTCCAGGTTTACTTCAGGAAGTTTATGGGATGCCTTGTACTTCCGAATTGACTTACAAGATGAAGTTATAAGCAGATGCAGGATTTTTAGATCTGTAAGACACTTTAGAATCCCATTTTTCTAGAGATTATTAGTGCCTGAAGTGCTGAAGCTCCATGGAAATCTGTGAGGGTTGCTTTTAAATGGTGAGGCCAGTCTGAATAGGAACTGAAGTAACAATGTGATGACATACTTAAAAAATGTGCTCCTGGCTAGTATCTCTACAAATATATTTTGAATTTGCTTCAGACTTCGAGAATTTTTTAAAAAAAGCTTTATTTGCAGACATACCCATACAGTACATCACCAGCTGTACTCATACAGCAGCAGGTTCCTGTAGGATATCAACCAGCTTACAGCTATCAGGTATGTAAATGTTAAGTACCAGTGGAAAGGCTGTTTGATAGGTGACCACTGTGAAGTATTAACTGTTTCGTGTTTCTGTGAATTACATTTTCTTTCAGCTCTTCCTTCACAGATACCAAAAGTAGAAGCAAAATTAGTGATGCTTTTATTCTAATGTGATGGAAGCTATTGAAAACTTACAATGCTCTTTTTTATAGTTCACTGGTTTTTTTTTAATATATGGTAGTAAAACTTGAATGTGATGGAAGCTATTGAAAACTTAAAATGCTCTTTTTTATAGTTCACTATTTTTTTTAATATATGGTAGTAAAACTTTGAAATTAGATAGAAGTATAGGGATTAGTTGTACTTTCTCCTGTAGGAGGGAGCTTTGCATTTGTACATGCTGTAGTGAGGGCAGTGGGTGTTAGGTACTTGGAATCAGAGCCTTAGCAGACCACAAGTGTGGGATTTATAGAGAGGGGATGTGCTCTTGAGCTCTGAAAACATCAGAGAAGGCACTTGGCTGATAGTGACTTTTGAACTTGGTAGTGAAATGTGTGCTGTTATGGAAAAGCAACCAGAAGTAGATTAGTAACTGGAAGCAGCTCGAGGTTTGAGGTGGGTTTCAGTGTGTCAGTTATTCTCCTAATGTTTAGAAATCCTATTTTTAATTTTTTTTACAAACTGGGACTGAAAAGAGAAAGACAGTTGAATAAAAAAAGCGGTCTTGCTGGTGATAAGGCCACAAAATACTGTTTAATGAAAAATCCAGACATAAAATACTGTAAATGGTGTAACTTAGAAAGCAGTTACTTGTCTGTGTTGGAAATGAATGAGTAAAAGCTGTTTCTTGTGCAATTTTTGCTTAAGGCTCAACCACAGTGGCTTGCTGGGGAGCAGAGAAATTATGTTATGTCTCCGGTAAGTCTGCAAAGTTAAACTTCTGACATTGTCTTCTGAATTAGCACACTGGTTTTACAGCTTGGTGATTAAAAAAATCAACTGTTATCTGTATGTAATCTGGTCTATAAAAATAATGTAATTGCTGACAGGAGTATTTAATGGTTTAGTACATCCTGCTGACATGGTAGGAAATATGCACTGACACGGTGCTCCTTTGAGTTACCTAGTAGAACAGACCTGCCTGTTTTATTGCATTACTCTGTATGTTCTGGTCACAAAACTGGAATTTTAACATGAGTTGGTTTTTTGAGAAGAGTGGAAGGAAGAACAAGTGGTGACCTGGTGCACAATTCTGACTTTAATTTTTTAAATGTTCTTTGCAAATACTGATTTATTTAAAATTTATTTCCCAGGCTGCTACAAACTGTAGATTGTGCTGTTGCTTCTAAAGAAATTACTTGCATTCTGTGACTTTATACAAGTGACATCCAAGAGAGAGGAAAAAATATTGTGTATTTTTTTAACAGTGTTGGAACTTAAACTTGCATCTTCGGCATTTTTGTGTCTCTAGGTATAATCTTGTATTTATTGAGAACAGTTTTGATTAAGTGTTTAAAAGCTGTAATACAAGTTTCTATTTTGAGTGGTATTCTTTTTCTGAAAGATTTCATAGTCACTGAAATACTGATAACTCTGATTTGAATTAATTTTGGTTGAGTAACATCTATAGATGTGATAACAGCCACAGTATATCATGAAGAGTTAAATGATAGCAGGTCAAAGAGTTCTAAGAGTAGATGTGCATGGGGGGTCAATCATTAAATGTTCTAAGCTTGGTTATATGAGCAGACAGGTCTTCTAGAACTGTGTCAGTTAAGCAACTTTAAGTATCATTCTTAACTGTCAAAAGAGATCAGGATACGGTATTTTTCCCATTTGTGGAACTTTGCATTTTTGGTAAAAAAGTTGAAATAGCTTATGGATTGGTGAGAATCAATGATAACAGGTGTGCATGTTTTCCCAGTGTTACTGAAACCAATATTTAAAAAACTACACAGGTTTATACTCCGGTAGGCTATCACTGCAGTGAGGATCCAGAATTTAGACCGACGGAATGTGCTGTTCCAGAGCCCATGCAGTTGTCTGCTAGCAGCTCCCAAAAGGTAAGTCTTCCGTCAAAACTTTAATGTTCTGTATCACAAATCTTACTCCCAGAAGTTTGCACTGGATTGTGTAGCTTGGTCCAAGGGTCTCTGACAGCTATCACAGAATTTTAGGGGTTGGAATGTACCTTACAGATCATCTAGTCTCAGTCTCCCGTGCCATGAGCAGAGACGCCTCCCCCCCAGACCAGAATGCTCAAGGCCTCATCCAGCTTGGCCTTGAACACTGCCAGGGCTGGCGCAGCCACCACTCCCCTGGGTAACCTGTGCCAGTGTCTCACCACCCTCACAGGAAAAAACCTTTTTTTCCTAATACCTAACATAAACTTCCTCTCCTCCTTCAACGTGAACCTGTTACTCCTTGTTCTTGGCAGTCCTTCAACGCGAACCTGTTACTCCTTGTTCTTGGCAGTTCCTGTCCTGGAAATTAAGGTTATGGTTGCCAGTTTTGGCCAGTTGCTCAATCCAGTGTATCGTCGTTTCTGTGTACAACTTCAGAAGGCTCATGTTTCCTTGAAACTATTAATACTTACATACAATGGCGAGGGCTGTATAAAATGTGTGTTCTACTTCATTAAGCATACTAATGTTTTTAAGTGACAAGACTTTATCTAGTGTGTGGAAATTCCAGCGAAAATCCCAGGTACTAAAAAAAGCAGAGGACTCTGCCTGGTGTCTTAGGCAAATTTATTTTAAGCTTCAGACATCTGAATGGGTAATGGTTTGTTCCCTTTTTTGCTGTGTTTTGTGCAAGGTCACTCCAGTTTAGCTGACACTTGGGTCTGAATTCAGTTTTCTAAAGAATTAATTTTTTTAGCTGTCAGCCTATTCCACAAGTGTGGCATGTCACTTGTTATAATTGTTACGCTGTAACATCTAAAAGGGGTAAATGAGTTAGCAATATTAAAGGACTGGGGGGGAGAAAAAAGGACAAATAGCTTAGGGAACATAAGGCAGTTAGGGAACTAAGGCAGGTGAGAGGAATCTTAAATGCCAGGTATACCCTGTGACACACTGACTGCCAGCTAGTAGTGCCCTCACTAAGGAAATGAGTATTGATGCACCTATAACTATTTCAGAAGTCTATGGACAGGAGCATACAAACCGTAGTATCCTGTCTGTTTAACCCTGACAACCGTGTGAGGAACAGCTTTGTATCACAAGATGACTACTTAAAGGTATGTAGTGAAAGCAAAATTAAGTCCCTAAAATAGAGCTTACGTTGAAATGTGTTCACCTACGGGATACCGTAAAGACAAAGGGATTCATATCTGGAATGCCATTTGAATGTTTGCTTCCTTGTAGATGCTCTGAGATTCATGGGTTTGACTCAGTTGCTTAATGCTGGAAAGAAGTGTTGGAGTGGGATTCAGTGGGCTTAATCACAACATCATCAAAAATGGCTGAACAGTCAACTCACGGACAGTTACAGCATAAGTTTGACTGGCTATTCCTCAGCAACAAGTTACTGGAAGAGCAGTGGGCTACTCCCTAGTTTAAGTCTTGATAAGTCTGTACAGTAGTTAAGTATTTGCTGTAAGTGTTGGCTGGTTAGGCTTTTTCTCTGCTTTAGCCACTAAATTGTAGTCCAGGTTGGTAGCTGGTCATCATTTTTGGTGTATATGTTCAGACTTTGTAGAACTGCAATTTCTGATTACATCCCAAGTAGTGCTTAATTTCAGTTTTAGGTAAGATCTTCGTTTTTTAAAAGGACAGATAGGTGAATTGGACATATGTACTCTGAAACAGGAATACAGAAGCTGTATTTATCCGCTCTGGAGGTGGCAAATAGAGTACAGTGTCTTTGAGTTTTCATGAAACTTCAATTGCTTTATTCTGAACATTGCCTGAATTTTTTTTCCTATCTCCTCTACCCCATCCCAGGAGAGGAAGGCACATCACTTCAGGAAAGGAAGATCAGTATTCAGAAGTGATCAACCAAAACTTCAAAATGTCTAACTTCATTAACGTGATGTTACTGCGGTTGAGTTTTACAATGTGTTAAGTCTAATGTTTCAAAGTTGCTTCAGGTTGAAGTTTGTGTTCATGTTTTGCCTCTTGCAATTCTGTTCTACTTGTGTAGTTTGAAGTTTAAAGTTTAGAGTTGACAAACTCAATTGTTTGCATGTTTCCTCTGATAACTAACTGGAATGTTAAAAGAGTTCTTTGGAAAAGCGTGCTTGGTTTGTTTGCTGCATTTGGATTTTCTTCTGAGCTTTAAGGTACAGTGTTTGCATGTTACACTTAATTTTTCTTAAACAAGTTTAACTCATACTGACCAGTTAAGTCTTGCAGTTTAAAAATTGAAGTACTTACTTGCCTAAGTGATTGTATTTTAAAACTGAGCTCTTAAATCAGTGCAACAGAGGATGTCAAGTTGTAACTGAGCTGAAGACCTTTTAAGTCCTTGTTGCCTTTGGATGACATCATCAGTGTGGTTATGTTCGTTAGTGACAACATACGTACTTGCAGTCTTGACCATCACTATTAGTTTGGAGTAAGTAATGAAGAGAATCCTAAAACTCCTATATGTAACATAAGATGCAAGAATGTAATTACCTCTGTTGGCTACTCAGTGTACTTTTTTTCACTTGAAAAATTTTAGCAATACCTCTATGTTAAAATGCTGAGAAAATACTGCATTGAAAACATGCCTCTGTTATGTGATACAAACTGTTAATCAAAGACTACCTGTAAGAGTATTTTAATAAATATGTAGGTTTTAGTTGTGTATTTTGAAACAATAAAATTTTTATTTTGCCTTGGCTTCCCAAACGTCTGGTGACAAACCTAGTAATTTTTAAAAAGGTATTAAAGACATACTACCATGTATGAGAATTTCAGTTACAGTGAATGTATAGTAACAGATGTCATTTTGTGGAGTTACTTGCTGCATTTTTTAGTAGAACCAAGAGCTGTATTCAGTCTTTTATGTTAGGTCCTATTGCTTTCCTTCTCCTACTCAAACACCTCAGTTTCTCTAGACAAGGACGGAAAATTGTCTCTCTTGTTAAGGATCTATACATGAGTGTTTAGGAGTAGATGTTCTGTTTCAAATGTCCGGAAGGTCTAGAAGTAGTAAGGGCTAGGCAAAGACTTACCCAGTAGTAAATGTTAGTGAAATGTGTAGGAGGGAATTGGGTAGTACAGATGTGGATATTTAAGGGAACATGGCTGCAGGATGAAAAATGTCCAAGGACTGCTGCTCAGGATAAAATTCTAGTGAGCAGGGTGGGAGAGAATGAGGATAGATGTATTTTTTGAGCCACTTTATACAGCATTGTACCAATGTTCTGATAACATAAATTGACCTGAAGCAAAGCTGTTAAGTTTCTCTGCTTACTGTTCCATGTCACTAAAGATAGTATTAAGTGTTCCCATAATATTGATTAGCCATGTTTTTCTCAGACTGCTGTTTTAAAGTTAGTAGCTTATCTTCTGTGTTGCCAGCTTTTTTATAACTATTTTTTCCTAGTCTTGCACACTTAAACTCAGTGTTTCTGAAAAAAGAACAAATCTGAAGTTTGCTGAATATCAGGAACTCTGTCCTTTGCAACTTTATGAACCTAAACAGCCTGCATGGGCTGTTAAAGCTGTGATGTCAGTTTATTGATAAAGGTAATGGTTTCTTTGCAAATGCACATTATTTTGGCTTTATGTTCTAGTTGGCTTGATTGCCCTGGGCTGTATTTGAGGCTGTATATGCTGTAGCTATAACAAAACACAGAAGTGCCTGTATGTAACGCTCATTGAGGAGTCTCACGGCAACAGGAGAGATAAACCAGAAGATACCTACGCAGTGCACATTTTTCTGCTTATTTGACCAAGTGTTACCCACAGGGACCATCTGGTGAGCGAGTAGATTGTTCAGTGTATTTGAAATGGTGGTGCTAGATCTGAATTATTCTTACAGGCGTGCCAAGAAGGCTTATCACAGTGAAATGCATAACCAAGGCCTTAAGAGTGCCATTTATTTTTCTCTTCCATTACATCATGTTGTGGTGGTTTTGTTAGCCACTGCTTACCCCTAGGGAACTGATCTTATTTTTTAATTCCCATCTGGGAAGTGCACATTTTGTGGCATATGCCAGTAAAAGTAACAAGTTATAACTAAGAACATGCATTTTTAATGTTCTTTTGAAGTACCCTATAAGCATAACGTGAAAACAGTAGGTAAATCTCTTGGGTTGCATTTAGAAAGTGTAAACATCTGTTTAATATGGCTTTGGCTGAAGGCATTTCTGAAATAGGTGCACAATAGGAGTTTCTTGCGGATTTCTACCTCTTGCATTCAAAAATCAAGTGGACTGTGTTAATTGTGAACCAGCAGGCAGCAGTGAGTTCTTGCAGATCTGTCTTAGCTTGTGCACTGTTTGATATTCAAAAGCATCGAGTCTCCTTTAAGTATTACAACGGCTCTTTGTCAAAAACCCCAATTGTTTAGATAAGATAGAAAAATACAACATTCTCATTTAGTTGGTATTTTAGAGAGATGAATTGTTTAGACAAGATAGAAAAATATAACATTCGCATTTAGTTGGTATTTTAGAGAGATGAAACTTGGTTTGTGTTAGGGTTCTTCCCTGAAGTGCCCCCGTTTGCTGCTTGGTGGCCTTTTTTAATACATTTGTGTTGTTTTTTTTAAACAAGCTTTGCCACCTGACAGAATTACTCTTGGAATGAGACAGCCAGGCAGATGGTATTCTCAAGATAGAAAAATATAACATTCGCATTTAGTTGGTATTTTAGAGAGATGAAACTTGGTTTGTGTTAGGGTTCTTCCCTGAAGTGCCCCCGTTTGCTGCTTGGTGGCCTTTTTTAATACATTTGTGTTGTTTTTTTTAAACAAGCTTTGCCACCTGACAGAATTACTCTTGGAATGAGACAGCCAGGCAGATGGTATTCTTGGATCTCCATTAGGATGATTGTCTGGCACAGACACTAATTTCCTGTCAAAATGGAAATATTTTTTCCTTCTAGGTATTTGTGTGCTAAACCAAGATGCTAAATTGTGCCTTAACACAAAGGTGATCTGATCTTTGATTGCTGCAATGAAGCAAAAGGGAGTTCTCCCTTTGTGTTTCCCAGGGTTTTCTTCTGCATGCTTTAATGGAACAGATTCTTACAGTCCTCTAAGAGGTAAACGGTCTATGTCCTTGCAGGAATGGCTTGGTTGATGGGTATTTTAAAGTAGATGTGTAATTTAAGAGCTTTTATGTTTACCACCTTCAGTGTTGGTAAGAAAGTTAAATTATCTAGGCTTACCAAGACAGTCCAGGGCTTCTTGAGATGAAATACGCATCTGAAGAAAATCTGCAAGTAGCCTTACACCCTAGATGGATTTGTACTTTCTACTTTTTCATTCCTACTCTAAAATTCGGGCTGAACTGTGGAGGGAGACAAATACACATGTTCCCTGTAACTTTTTAAGAAGGAGAGCCCTGGCTGAGTTTACAAAGGCCTTTGTGTTGCCACAGTGACAGTTCTGGGTTTAACTTCTGTGAATAAATTCAAAGGGGTTTTTTGTAAACTTGTGTACTTGGTGCTCGAGACAAACATGAAAAAGGGTTCTCTGCTCCTTTACCTTAAGGTTGGGAGATTGTAGGAAGTGTAGTAATGAGGGTAGGATTTATATTTAAAAACACGCTGCTGTAAAATACCATGTCAGAGCTGAAAATACAGGTATTTATGCTAGTAGTCCAAAATTATTATGTGGATAATAGAAACCAGAAAAACTCTCAAAACTTCTGAATACATAGTCCAGTAAAGATGAATGCTCTAGTTAGTCAATGTTCTTTCTGATGTAGTGGAATATTAGGGGTACCGCTCGTCAAGTTAGCCGTGGGTCTGCAATACTCCTGCTTCTCTTGGGGTATGTGTAATTGTGCTTTCTAATTTCTGTTAATGTGTTCCTGTAGGTGTTACTTTTTAGTTCAGTGTTCACATTTCAGTGTATTGTTTGAACTATTTGGTTGGATTAGGTGACCTTTAAGGTCCTTTAGACTGATTCTATCAAGGAACCTTTTCCCATACCCCATTCAAAATAACTCTGGACTTAAACTCTATATGCTTTCTGTCCTAAATTTATAGGAATAATGTTCTGCTGGCTGGTGCCTTTTCTAGGCTAGAACAATCCTAACCAGATGGGGGTTTTCACCCCCAATTGCTTTATGCTTGTTCCTTTAGTACACTGAGTGTTCAAGGAACTCTTTAAGCTTCTTGTAAAGTCTTCCTAGAAGAATTTGGAATAAACCCCACCAATTAATAGAGGTCTGCAATTGATTCACTGGGAAAGAAGTGAGCAGGGACATCTTCAAGTAGATCAGGTTGCTGTCCATAAATTTTTCTGAGGATGGAACAGTCACCACCTGAGAGCTGAGCTCTGCAGCCATCCAGTTCTTGCCATAAGCTGATTTTAAACAATGTAGAAAGCAGTTAATTAAAATTGAATCAGTGGCTCCTGTACATCATAAGATAAATTATGCCTTTATGAAAACATACAAAGGGGAGCCTATATACACATGGTGGAGTAATCACTTATAAACATGAGCACAGACTTCAATCTCTGGCTTTTAGGAGGATAGAATATGCATTGGTCAGTGGCCATGTACTAGATTGGATCATAAGAGTTGTAAAGGATGTTTAATATCTTTGAGTCCAACTTACTAACTGCTAAGTCCACCAATAAGCAATCTTTCCAAGTGCCACATCTGTCTGTTTTCTAAATACTTCAAGAAAGAGTGACTACCACTTCTGTGGGCATCTTGTTTCAATGCTTCACAACCTTTTTTGTGAAGAAATTTGTCTTTATTACAAAACTAAACCTGCCCTGGCACGACTTGAGGCTGGCTGTTTCATAACAAGTTATGCTGCTTGTTACTTTGAGAAGAGACCAACCCCCACCTGGCTATAAACTTTTTAGGTAGTTCCGGATAGCAGGTAGTTTTAAGTAGCCTCCT